CTTTTGGACAGGTAGAATGACAAACAATAAACCTTTTCAAGGAATAGAAAGTTAGCAAGATATGAAAATCAAAAGCCAAAATGCTTGCGGAAGTAGAAAACTTGCCAGGCCTGATTCAAGGCGGCCCTTGTACACACGTCCAAAACCGCCTTCGCCAAGAAGATTAGCTTCTCTGAAATTCTGGGTTGCTAAGGCAAGTTCTTTGAAAGTGAAACTGCGCGCGACATTACCCTTCTGGTTGTTGCTTTCCCCGCCTTTCCCTCCTAAAGAACGTCCTTTTCTACCTTTCGCTAAACATGAACAAAAACCCATAATTCAATAAAATGAACTAAAGCATCACATGATCAAACTCCCCATCTACCAAATGCAACTCAAATCTCAGACATTACTAACAACATAAAGTATCTAAAAACCCTTACAGTTCTAGAATCACAAAAAAAGGAACAGATTTTAACATACATACACTACATTGTGTGACAGCCAAAAAAAGTACTCCCTTCGTTTCAATTTATTTGTCTTACTTTACTTTCTAATCTGTTTCAAGAAAAATGTCTCATTCCTTTTCTTTTCGAAAAATCCTTTAATTCTAACTTTTCACGTGACATGTTTAAGAACACAAGATTCAAAAGTATTCATTACTTCCTTAAACTCCTTGTCAAGTCAAAAAAAGACAAACAAATTAAAACGGAGTAATGATAAACAAAAAATATACAATAACAGTAGTTCCTACATTGTATCAAAGGCTAAAAATTGAATCTTTTATCTAAGTAGATAACAACAAAGGAAAATCTAAGAAGCAAACCTGAAGATTTAATGGATCTTGAACCCGTATCTTCATCAAAATCTCTTACATCTTTTCGATTAAACCTCATGCAAGAAAAGCAACCCATTTTTTTCTTCATAAGCTTTTTTAGCCAATTTTACTTCACAACCAAACACAGATTTTTCAAAAACCACAAAACCCCACCTCAAACTCCTGCTAAAATTACTATATAGGAGCTCCAAAATGAACAAAACAGTTAAAAGAACCAAAAAAAACAAGAAAAGAAAGGATTTTTGGAGCTCAGAAGAAAGAAGAACCAAAAGGGTCGATTCCTTTTCCTTCTAGAAATGTAAAAACCTAATTATTTAATTATTCTATCAAGAAAAATAAATATTAGAGAAAAAAGATTGAAGCTTTCACATTCATAGATCTGCAAATACAATAAAGACAACCAAACAAATATAAATAAAGTAAAAAAAATTAAAAATATTATTAAGAAATTGCATTGAACCAAAAATGGGTCCTAAATAGTATTTGATAGTATCTTCTATGACTTAAAAGTCAGTTCAAAACACAGGAGAAAAAAGGAAAAATCTCAACTTTTTAAACAATCCTAAATTAAATAAGTTACCAAAACTAAACCAAGCTAAAAAACAACACTAAACCAAAAATGAGTCCTAAATATTTGTCATCTTCAAGAATCCTATGAACAAATAAAGTAAATAAATATCAAAAAAATTCCTAAATTCAGACAAAATTCTTCCAGCTCCTCATTCAACGCCAGCTTTAACGGTAATCCTTCTTTACCACCCACCCACCAAAAATATTAATTTTTTTTTTTAAAAAAATAATCTTTTTATATGAGGCTTTTTGGGTATGAATTTAAAGTGGGAAAAATTTAATTAAAGCAAAAGATGAAAAATTGGGGCATTAAAGCTCACTCTTGATTATAGTTGCAGGTCGTTTTCAATGGCAAAGCATTTAAACGTTTGGGTGAGGGAAATGAAAATGAAATGACGAATTTACCCTCCTTCATTGGTCTATTTTTTCCTCAATTACCGACAACTGTTGCGACAAAATCGATTTATTTGTCTGATTTTGATAATATACATGAAAACATGTTATATATGAAAAATTATAATTAAAAAATTATCGAAAAAAAAATGTTGTTTGCAAAAGGAGTTATTCACTGAAGAATATGTTTTTTTTAAAAATAGTTTGGAATAATAATAACAATAAGGAATATATAATAATAATATGATATAGAAACGCGTTAGCGCCGTTATAGATTCTGCATGGAATTTTGGGTCCCTAGTATTTAGGTGGAGATGGGACCATACTTTATATTTTATTCAATTGGAATATATTACCTTTAAATTTTTATTTTAATGTTTCTGATATATTTAATTTTGAAAGGTTTTACTTGTTTTGAAGTGAATGTCGTTTTTTTTATTTGTATAAGATAAGGTTAAGACTGTATACATATTAATTTCTAAATATATTACTGTTGTTATAGATATATTTAACTTAAGATTTTCTCTTATCTTAAAAGTTGGTGTAGAACAAGAATTGAATAAAATACTTATTAGAAGATGAAAAAAAAAAAAGTTTATAAGAATGTGTTTTAAAAAAATTACTTCAATTTTAATATGAAATGATCACAATTTTACTTAATAATTGGGTCCGAGAGTGAAACCATCATCATATATATAAAAAAACATAAACTATATAGCGAGATCACTATTCAGAAAAGTCAAAAGGAAAGAAAAATGTCACATAATTATAAGAATTTCATGGTGCACCATACTTGGACATCACTATTTAACGTATATGTCCATTTCTCGAAGTCGATAAAATTTGTAAATTTTACGTATTAAGAAGGTAGCTTAAATGATGATCTCAAAATCGGATATGTGTACACTTCGGCCCATATAATTGTTTAGAGGTGATATGGTGCAAAGATGGGCCTTCGTAAGCCCATATCTATCTAATTTGGTCTTGATCTTTGAGCCTTTATGTAAAAAGGAGTGAGCTAATTGGGCCTCTAGATATTGGTCTACAACATGGATAAGGCCCATGTAAGAAAGTTGACAAATCAAACCATGGCCCAATGCTAAGTTGTTTTTTGTAGGGAAAATTGTATATAATAGCAAACTATTAATTCAAATTAAATGCTATAAATATAGTTTCATTTAATTGTACCTCATAGTAAATTGTTGCTATTTCACCTCTCTCCTGGTGAATCTCGCTCGCCACTCTCGTTCTCTCCCTCGCCTCTCTTGTTTTTTATACAAACGCAAGTGTATAAAGTGCGTTTGTGTTTGTATAAAGCGAGAGAAAATTGTATATATACATATATTTTCGTTCCCCTCTCTCCCCTCTCCCAGATCTCGCTCAC